AGACAATGTAATAGAGCAGCTGGAAATGCTAGCAGAATGCTTGATTGTATAGGGATAGGTATTAGCAGTAGAAAGAGGGAAGTGCTCTTGCCATTGTACAGAACACTGGTGAGACCTCACTTGGAGTATTGTACGCAGTACTGGAGACCGTATCTTCATAAGGATATTGATACTCTAGAAAGAGTTCAGAGAAGGGCTCCTAAGCTGGTTCATGGATTGCAGGATAAAACTTACCAGGAAAGGTTGGAGGATCTTAACATATATAGCTTGGAGGAAAGACGAGACAGGGGGGATATGATAGAAACATTTAAATACATAAAGGGAATCAACACAGTAAAGGATCAGACTATATTTAAAAGAAGAAAAACTTCCACAACAAGAGGACATAGTCTTAAATTAGAGGGTTTAAAAATAATTTTGTGGATGAATGAAATAGCCTTCCAGCAAGGAGTTTAAGCATGCATGGGATAGGCATAAGGCTATCCTAGACTTAAGATAAGACCAGGGACTAATTAAAAGTATTTTGAAATATTGGGCAGACTAGATGGGCCGAATGGTTCTTATCTGCCGTCACATTCTATGTTTCTATGTTATATAAATTGGAACGCTTGTCAGATGCATGAGGTTACACAATTTTATAACATAACAGGAGGCTTCGTATTTGCTTAAGTCTCTCTTTACTACATTGCCTCCTGCTTCTAGTTGGTGGCTTTGGGTTTTATTATGATTTATTTATGATTTATATTAATTATGCTTAGTTTTTTAGGATTACTGTGCCTTTTGGCTCTTCTTTGCTTCCCCTGTTTTTTTGGGGGTATATTTTCATTTACATTGTGGTGGTTTCATGGTGGTTCCTGGAGATACCTATTCGGTTTGCTCTCCCTTTGATTTCACCCTTCCCCTCCCCCCCAGTTTATATCACAGATTGCTGTGAGTTTCAATGACAGTGTATATATATCACAGATTGCTGTGAGTTTTGCTGCCAGTGTATATCAGATTGCTGTGAGTTTTGCTGACAGTGTATATCACAGATTGCTGTGAGTTTTGCTGACAGTGTATATCACAGATTACTGAGTTTTGCTGGCAGTGTATATCACAGATTGCTGTGAGTTTTGCGGACAGTGTATATCAGATTACTGTGAGTTTTGCGGACAGTGTATATCACAGATTGCTGTGAGTTTTGCTTCCAGTGTATATCACAGATTGCTGTGAGTTTTGCTGACAGTGTATATCACAGATTACTGAGTTTTGCTGACAGTGTGTATCAAAGATTGCTGTGAGTTTTACTGACAGTGTATATCACAGATTGCTGTGCGTTTTGCTGCCAGTGTATATCACAGATTACTGAGTTTTGCTGACAGTGTATATCACAGATTACTGAGTTTTGCTGGCAGTGTATATCACAGATTGCTGTGAGTTTTGCTGACAGTGTATATCACAGATTGCTGTGAGTTTTGATGGCAGTGTATATCACAGATTGCTGTGAGTTTTGCTGGCAGTGTATATCACAGATTGCTGTGAGTTTTGCTGACAGTATATCACAGATTGCTGTGAGTTTTCTCTGAGTTTTGCTGGCAGTGTATATCACAGATTGTTGTGAGTTTTGCTGACAGTGTATATCACAGATTTCTGTGAGTTCTACTGACGGTGTATATCACAGATTACTGTGAGTTACAGGTATATATGAAACTCAGTTTTACAGGCTCTGTACAGGGTGTATACAGAGCCAGTTGGCTAGTTAACTCTAGGATTGATGTGCTTCACAGTATATATATTCTGGTCCAGCTATGGAGTCTCAGATGAGACTATTCTGGTATGGAGATTTGGGGAGATTCATTGAGTTGGCAATTGTTGAAAGAGGCCATTGGTACATTACCCTTCAGGTGGTATGATGATGATCTATAACAAGATAAGAATCTCAAACAGACCTGTATGTGCGTGTGCATAACAATTCACAGTTTAAGGAATGTGTCGCTCAGTATATCTTGATTTTATGGACACTATAAGCACTGGAACAACTTCAGCTTATACCCAATACAGCTGGAATACCACTATTTTGCTTGCTGGGCATTTAGGGACTGCAGGTCCCGGTTAAGGTTTATTCTGTCTAGGGGTCCTAGGTCACAGGATACCCTGAGGATTTACAGATATTTAGGGGTCTCTGCCCAAACTCAGGGGTCCCCATTACTCATTTAATACGCAACCCAGGATTGGCCTGCTATGTCTGTGCCCTCTTGATTGGCCTGCTAGTTCTGCACCCATTTGATTGGCCTACTATGTCTGTGCCCTTCTGTCTGGCCTGCTCTACCTGTGCCCATCGTTGGCCTGATCTATCTGTGTCCGAACCCCCTTTTGGCCGCAGGCCTGGGGGAATATCACTGAGGAAAGCTCAGTACCCACTGTTGACACGGAGATAGGTGGGTGTCCAGGCAAGCACTGCTGCCATACTATCCAAGAGGACACCAGGATACGGGCACCTAAATATGATTGGAAGGATGAAGGCCCTACAGCTCATGCCCTGAGGGGCAAAGCTTTTATAAAGATTCCCGGGTACGCAACCACGGTTTACACCAGCCCGGCGGCAGCACATCTCCAAGGGGAATCTCACACAAGCAGGGACCAGTGCTTAGAGGCCAGCAGGGGAGCACGGTTTCCTTGCCTTCAGCAACTAACCCTTTAGCTGCCTTTTAGCTCCTGACCCTATCAGTTGGGTTTACTTGACTTGCTTTTACGATCTGCTATTTACCTTTAGCTACGTTATTTGTCTTCGTGCCTTCCAATTGTCCTATCGTTTGGGTCGTCGAGAGGCCTGACTTGACCTCCTTAGACCTCCTGTGGATCGCGGAGAACGTCTCCAGCTTTCCTCAGGCTACCGACGGTCATCCCGCATGGGATCCGGGCGGTCCGTTGGTAGTTTCCATAGGTTGTGTTTTCTCATCATTGGTTTCGGTTATTAAGCATGGACATGGCTAGAGGTTGTATACTATTCCATCTACCACCGGTCTGGTTTATTACCAGTTGATTCCATTTCTCAAGTGAGAGATTCTCGTGCTCAGAGAGAGACCCACCTCAGGATCTCAGTCTTATGCTGATATTAGTAAATGGTGTACCCTGCAGTTGGTCACCCTGAGTCTCTAATGAACTCTACTTTGGATTACAAGAGGGTGTGGCCCTCCATTGCCTCAGCCCTAGACTGATTTTTTTTTTTCACAAGAGAGCGAACCCCTCTCATAAACTGAACCGGACACTGATTCATTATTAGAGGGTGCGGCCCTCCCTCAACCTAAGCCCGTTACTGAGCTGGATACAGAGGGCACATTCTCATAGAAGGAACTGGACACATGTAAACTCTAATGTTTGGTTATTAACAGGTGCGGCCCGCTCATGCTATCAGCCGGACGCTGACACAGAGTTTGACTCTCTTACACTCAATGCACTACGGTGCTGTCCATTTGTTCATCACACAGGCTTGTACATGTACAGGACAACGATGACTGCATAGAGGGGCGTCCCTGCTGTATTCAATTAGATCTAACGACCGTGCTACCGATTTCGTTATAGAGGGCTGCCTGATTGTGCAGGGTATACATGTTTAGACTGGATCTACTGGATCCGGACCACTGTATCCCATGCGAGACATACTCACAGAGGTATTACTGGGGGAGATTCCCCGCTTATTTACACACACTCCTGGAGACAGTACGGTTAACGGATGAGCCTGTTTTTACAAGAGTGCAGGTTTTGGTATAATCTGCGCTATATCAAACAGGCAATTGCTCTCCGTTTAAGATATTCAGACCATTGTGAACAAACTGTGCAGACAGTTTTTCCCATGTCAAGGTGACATGAGATCCTGAGACCTTTATAGAGCAAACGGGCACTGCTTTGCTTGGGTGACAAGACTAGGGAAGCCCCACAAGCCGGTCTGCAGATACACTGTGCGCATGGATCACATGTAAAGACCGGAATCCTCTGTCAACTTGGGTTCCCTGGTCATTACAATCTTGGGATGAGAAAAGGACTGCCCCATCTCCTCTGAGCACATATCTGGAGAACAGGGTTCGGATATGGAGGGCCCTCCTTCTATACTCTATATTCCTCACGGGGACCGTCTTGGTTTGAGTGCTCGCTAACCCACCTGTTCAACTACCATCAAGGAAACCTACTGTGGACTCTATGGAGGAGCTCTGTGTGTCCCCGGCTCCTACGTGGATGTCACAAGTCAGGACGCAACCTATCGCTGGAGTACTGCTCAGGATGTGTAGCAGACTTTGATATGGCTGCTGATGTTCTCAAACGGGACAACACTTGCTTTGGACGGTTGAAGCTAGACCCTTGTTTTTTTCCGTTATATCTGCTCTCTGGAGTCACCTGTCGTGAGTGAAGAGACTTTACGTCTTGTCTGTATTAGAGAGCGCTATGTGTTCGCGGGACTCCAAGCTAAGAAGTGAGGTATCCCTCTATAGGGAGGCCTTGACTTCGGTTCTCGAATTCACATTCCTGGGTCCCTCGACCTAGGGGGTCTCACTATATTATACCCTATCTCGTAGGTGGCGTGTAGACCAGGAACCTCTACATGAATTTTGACAGGTCAGGCATGGAACAGGATCGTACAAACGGGTAATCGGCTTATTTCACTCTCTCACTACAGCACGTGAGAGCTCTTCTTTGTGAGGTAAATGCCGAAACTCATGCTGCCCCACGCAATATATAAAGATAGCATTGTTTTAGGGCTCAGTCAGGTTGACTGCCAGGAGGGTGAGCAGGAGATGCAAAAGTAGGTAGGGTGCCAATGATTCTGAACCTTGGCTCCTTTTACTTCTGACTGGTAAGCATAGCTTCTCAGTCAATTGAGGGGCAATTTCATACTTGCATATGCTCAATTTCAATCACTTATGAATGTAATATACAAATGTAAGTGCTTGTTCTTACAAATGGCAAATAGAAATTAAGGGATGAAAGAAGATTGATCAAACGGCAGCAATACAATATGACTGTTCCAAAATAATATTTACACTTTTAAAAGGCAACACCTTTTATTTTTAACCATCAAAGAAAAACAAAGTCAGCAGATGGTCACAACAATTTAGTCATCAAATCCACATAAACTGTAAGTACAAAAGCACCACTGATTATTGCTATAGAAAAACGGCATGTAAAATCCATATAGGCACAGTAAAAAACATCAGCATTTGCACAAGACTTTTTCAAGCAAAAAAAATGTAAAAATACATATATGCAAATCAGCCTCAAGCCCACTCACTAATGCTAAAAAATGTTTAATATATTTTAAAACTTGCAGACAATAGGGAAAATAAAAACTGCAAAGCTGATTATGAAGAGAAAATGTTCATGTACATTATATATATGTAAAAGTTAAACTACCATAGTCCTAAAAAAATTAGCATTTACAAAATACTTGAGAAAAATATTTTTTTTCCTTAAAGTTCTTCAAGAGGTACATAAAATTAACTCAAAAGTTCCATGACCGGTTTACTCTTTGTCTTCTTCAGTTTTCTGTGCCTACAGGATAAAAAAAAAAATAGAGTAATTAAGATCTGTACTTCGTAATTTTACTTCTGCTGTCCTTGCAAACCACCTCCCAAAATCAGAATATAAACTAAACTGCCACTCTACAATTGTGAAACGTTTAAAACGAAGGCCCTAGTTAACAGACAAAAACCTAAATATTAAATTCCTCTTTAATAGACTGAGCTTAGATGTTTATCAAAAACCAATAAAAGCCTTACCTGTCGGCTTTCATATTCACACTGAAATAGCACCACACTACTAGCTTTCTATGCACTGCACACAAAAATGATCTACCGTACCCTTAACTTTCACAGTTTCAATCTGCCCTTTTATTGACAGTGTGCTGGGCAGGGCACCTCTGGATGTTGAAACATTAACAGTTGAGCGAGAGATGTGAATCTGTAATAACATTACGGGCAATAAAAAAATAAATAAAGCATTATGAACATGCAATCAATGGTTGTAAGAGTTAGAAAAAGACCACCACCACTGATTCACTATTTGGGATGTACCTCATCAGCTCTAGTTTCACCATTTTCAGATGGTGTAGTAGTACCTTCCTTTCCAGCTTCTTGTTTTTCTTCCTTCTTCCCTTTACCACCTTTGTTTGCCTTTGCCGCTGGTTCCTTCTGAAAAATAATTTTCATATGTAACATAAGAATGTTTTCAAAGTCGGAATTGTACAAAGAATATTGTGACAGACTGTTTTTGCATGTCGCCCTGCATTGGAATCTGAATATCTCAATTTGCTTTTCATTCATATAAAATACAAAGACAGATTTATCATGAAATTTGAATCTATGGAAGAAAAAAAAAAAAACAAACAAAAAAAAACACACACATACAAAACCACTAAAGGATTAAATATACTTCACATGGAATCAGTCTCACTTTCCACATCTTTATAGTCATAGACGTCTAAAAACTAAATGACTGACTGAAACAAAATTCGCTACCCATTCACAGTCATCTATTTATGGATTTTGTTTGAGCATTTTCGAAACAATAAGAATCATTAATGACGTGTAGAAGACATAGGATTCTGAAGTAGATGGAATGCAAATCAAAGACTATAGTACCATCATTTTGCAGAAGGGATTTGTTTGACAGAATCCCAGGATCACGTTTCTGAAGATGTTTTGTAACACGTGAAGTACTCTTCCAACAATAAGGGGACACTCTAGGACCATAACCTCTTCCATCTTAATGAAGGGTTTATGGTGCCTTGAGTCTCATATCAAACCAATTGTGATTGCAGACACTAAATGAGAGTCCCTTGCCAACCCTGAATCTACCCAGTGTTGGAAGTATAGGTAAGATATAATATAACTGCTCCATGATGCAGAATGATCTGGAGATTGACACCATGCAACTCACCACCCAGGGAGCTATATGGCTACATACCCCCAAGCATCAGCTCATCTGCCTCATCATCTTTTGTCCAACGAGCACCCATCCACAGTACAAGTAAGAAGTGGGATGCTCAGTCTGGAACTACCTTTTTAAAAAAATAAGGTATGAGAGGGAGGAGCGAATTTTATTTTTAGGTGTACTCGACAAACATGATTAAGAATATTCCATGGGTGCTGTCACTATATGTGGGGAAAAGGTCTATATGGGAATAACATTAACTCCCCTCCCCCAGATTGTCTAAATTAACAGAAAATTTTTTTTCACAAATTCATAGCACATATTGATAGAACCTTACCTTGGCAGCTGTTTTTTTGGGTTTTGCTTCAGGTTTAGGAGGGGCAGGTTTCTAAAAGAAGCAAAAACAATTAAAAGCGGAAACGTAAGAGGAAAAAAAAAAAAAATCACAACACACTCTACCCCTAAAAATACTAAATGTAATCTACAGCCTTAGTGAAAGGCTAAAAATACTCAAACAATAAGACTTGAATTGTGCATTGGTTTTAAAAGTACAATATTTTCAGGTATTACATGAATTGGCACTTTAAAGTGAACCTGTCACTTGGCCTAATAATATATATGTAATTCTTTTCATATTAATGGGGTGCATTCTCTCTCTGGTGGCAGGTAGTTGCCGCTGGGACACTGCACAGCTTCCACCCATGCTTTTTAGTGATTCCGGGGTGACAGCAGTTTTTTGTGTCCGTCATTGAAAGCTCTAAAGTGGCCCTCTTAAATTGCCTTAGGACTCTTGTACGCCTTGCTTGGGGCTAGATGCAGCTTATCACTGCACACACTGAACGGATTTGCAGATCTGTTGATGTTACAGAAATGTCTACATTTGCCAATATAGAAGAAATAAGATTCTCTATCATTTAAAGGGACACTATAGTCACCAGAACAACTGTTCTGGTGGTAGAATCATTCCCTTCAGGCTTTTTACTGTAAACACCGTGTTTTCAGAGAAGATGCAGTGTTTACATTACAGCCTAGTTATAACTCCACTGGCCACTCCTCAGATGACCGCTAAAGCAGCTTCCTTGGGCAGTGCTGCAGAGTAAGCAGCACTACCATTCAGTGTCTTCACCCTGTGCATACAGACACTAAACTTTCCTCAGGGATGCAGTGATTCAATTCATCTCTATGAGGAGATATTGATTGGCCAGGGCTGTGTTTGACTTGTGCTAGCTCTGTCCCTGATCTACCTGCTTGACAGTCTCAGCCAATCCTATGGGAAAGCATGGTAATTGTCTCAGACCACCACTTCGGGTGATGTCAGCAGACAGAGGCAGTTTACAGGCAGAGGCAGCAGCTTCAGACTTGAATACAAGTAAGATTTTACAATATTTAGGGAGGCAAGAGGGGGCCAGATGATTGTTTTAAAACTATATGGTCAGGAATACATGTTTGTGTTCCTGATCCTATAGTGCTCCTTTAAGATTAAAGGGACACTAGTCACCAGAACAACTACAGCTTATTGTAGTTGTTCTTGTGTCTACTGCCTGTCCCTCCATACACTTCTTTTGCTGTAAACACTGCCTTTTTCAGAGCCTAGGAACACCTGCAGTGACCACTCATCAGACGGCCACTAGAGGTCCAGAGTCTTCACATTGTGCATTGAGACGCTAAACTTTCATAGAGATGCATTGATTGGGCAGGGTGGCATTTGGCTCTGCCCCTCCCGGTCCACCTCTGTGGTTGAGATCAGAATTAACAATGTCAGCCAATCCACTGATTTACTATGGGAAAGAATTGTATATGGCTGAAACCATCAATTCTGATGATGTCAGCTAAAGAGGTGGATCGAGGGCTGAGTAAGAGCACCGTGCTGGAAATAAGATGAGTTTGTAATATATATGTGGTGAAGGGTTAAATAGTTTAACACTATAGGGTCAGGAATACACTGTGTTCCTGACCTTATAGTGTTCCTTTAAGTTGTGTCTTGACAGGGTTACTTTAAAAAGGACCATAACCACTATGTAGCTATACTGCCTGGACTATCTTGGAATTACTAGCATCCAATATAATAGCCTTAGCAAGTAGAATTTGGGAAGATCATTGGGTCAATGTAAAAAATAAAAATGGAAGCAGAGAGGTGCGTGTAACTCCACTTACCGGTATATCAATTATTTTCTTGATATGCTGAATCATTCATGACAACATCTCTCATTCAGGACTTCATAGGTGGCCCCACTCTTCAATGTACAAACTTACTATGGCAAAACGACTCACATAGATTCTGTGAATTTCCCTCCAGGGGCAAAAAACTACGTATTTTGTGATCATGTACCTCCTTATGAATGTATTACAGTGTACTAAATGTGTAGATTTTTATACCTGGAAGAATATTTGCGGAATTATGTGAGTCTTTGTGCCATGGTCTGTTTGTACATTGAAGAATGTTTTTAAGTATATGGAAACAAAAGGAATTCCCCAACAGCAAAGATAACAGCACTTTTGACGAGTATTGGCCACTTTATTATTGCCATTTAAGATGCATGATTATATACTTTATGATCAATAAAAAATAAATGTATAGACACTTACCGAAGACAACCGTGCCGATCTTCTTGTAGGCTGAAAGAAAATTATTATTTAACATGGATAATATTTAATATCTACCGCAGTTATCAACTGTCATCAAGACACATCAGTCAATGTTTTATTAGAATCCTCACTGGAACCATTACCCCATCCCATTGAAATTTCTTTGTGGGATAGGAATAGTAGCTTGTCATGAGGGCCCATTGAATTAGTTACCACTTTAATTTTGAATCTTGAACAAGTAGATTTATTTATTTTTACACATTTTCACACCCTTGCGTAAATTATTTTACTAGCTGTCTTACCTCAGCAGCACCACTTAAAAGCCACCCCTCCCCCCTCAAAAGAAACTAGTGCACTCCATAAATTCATGTGTACTCACCTCTTGTTTAGTTACCTTTCCTGCGTCCTTGGCTTCTGCACCTTCTGGAGACTGCAACAAAAAAAAAAAAAATGTAAAGTAACCAACAAATAAAACATCATACAAAAACATGTAATCCACATTAGACCATTATAATTCTTTATTATAAAGCCTAGTGTAAAAATAACCATATACAGTATATGACTTATTCGTACTATTAGCTATCCCAATGTGCATTTCTAATACCAAACTGAAAGCTCTACCAAAAACAAAAAACTCCATAATTCAACATATTTTATCAAACAAGTATTATTTGTTTGTGATATTTTATCAAACAAGCATAAATTTGTTAATCCCTTGGTTAGGCAAATTCTGTATTAATATTTATAGGTGTTAGCATATGAATGTGAAATAAAGTCTGCTGAAAAAGGTAGGAGTACAGAAGCTATGAAAAGAAGGACATGACCAAACAAAGGGAAAATATAGTGCTAGGAATACAGATTTATATTCCTAACACTATATTTGCCTCTTGTCCTCCCCTTCCATTGCAGCAATGCTTTCCTATGAGGAGAGCCAAATGTGCTTGCATGCATGAGTACCCTGTCTGGTGGGGGCAGACTACTCCTACATTTTTCAACATTTCCAAAGAACCTTGCTTGTTCAGCAGTCCTCATTAGACTTTATTGCTAATTAATGCAATATGCCAACACCGATCATGAACTTGTGTAGTACTTACACTTTCAAATTGGAATGATTTTACAATGCTTTCCTAACGGGATATTACAGACACCGGATGTCCTCAGGCAAAGGACATACAGTGTCAAGTGACCAAAAGTCGCCTAGCAAGCAGGAAGTGCCTCTAGTGGATGTTTGATTGACAGCCACTAGAGGCAGTCTTAGTCCTGCAATGTAGTCATTGCAGTTTCTCAAACACTGCAATAATGGTACATGGTTACTGCACCCAGACCACATAAATGAGCTGAAGTGGTCTGGGTACCTATAAATGTCCCTTTAAGCATGGCTAGATGAAAATATTCAGTCTTTCATTGTCCATTACAATATTGTCTGGTTTAATGAAAGGGAGTTTTTGCACTAAAACTGCTTGATTAAACTTAAGTTGTTCTGGTGCTTAGACGTTTGCTTCTGGTTATGCATCCATAGCCAGGTCTTCCCTGTGACTCACTGAGCCTCCATGAAAAAACAAACCGCAGTATATTAACTTTTTTACCCCATGTTCTGTTAATGAACTTTAATAAACCCCACACGAGTACTTTAATCCTGTATACATTGACTGTGTTGGAATTCACTGAAAATTCAATCCAGTTAAAAGATAAACTAAGACAAAGTAGAAACTATGTCTCAGTATTTTTTCCTCCTTGACAAAAAGGCGGAGTCAATTGTTAAAGCTCCTGGAAGCTAAATTAGATCGGACAGAACAGCATAGTTACGAGGAAGTTCCACCACAGCCCTCGGACGCGTGATTTGATAGTGCCACAACACAGGACCAGGGCTAACTTTGCCAAACTGCTCGTCCACCAAAATGGTGCACCTCTTAATTATACTTTCGCAGCAAGGGACAACCTTGACAGCACCTTCCCACAGCATTGGATCGAACGATGTGGCAGTTTTGAATGGATATTATGTTAACCTGACTTAACTACTTTTTCTGGGTTGCACTAAGTCACAAATGTGCTGCATCTCCCTTGGTTCTTAAAAGGTTAATCCAAAGAGTTTAAAAAAAATAAAATAAAAATGAATTTCTTATACCTTTTGATAGGCACCTTGGATATTTTTATTGCATCGCACAAGCAAACGATGTAATAACCTGGTAACTGAGGCACTTATACAAAAGTTTAAAAGCAATAAAAAAAATAAAAAAAAATAAAAAATGGATTTTATCTGGATCATAATAATACTCGTGGTTACAGTGACACCAGAAAATTTTTTAAACCATATCAGATGTGGCATCTCAAAGTGGCTGCATAACAAAAGAAATGTATCCTCTTCTGTTACACATGCCTGTGTTTTGTGTCAAATGTTTACAAAAGACAATTAGCAAAAATCTAATCATTTTTCAATTAACCTTATTTCCATAACATTACTATAGATATATATATATATATATATATATATATATATATAAAATATTGATATTATTTTACACTTGCTTATTTCTCCAGAAGATTAATCGATTATTTTCAAATAACAGTATACAGAAACAACCGGTCATGTGCTGAGAATTCTAGAAAACATGCACATTGTTAAGAAAAAAACAAAACCCACCTCTTGTGACTATGGAAATCTGGAACTTTTTACAGTTTTACCAATCGATACAGAATACAGTAATCTGCATAGTAAAGCAACTCTCTCTGTTTCTCTCTCATAACAGTAGAGGATAACGCTACACGTTTTTAGAGTCACACCACTACCTACTAGAATTTATAGAAAACAAAACAAATGACGGCCTGACCTTGAGCAGCCATCCTGTGAAATCACTACTGATGTTAGTCCTTCGCATTAATCACTAACCTACGATATTAATACTTATCTAAGGGCTAGTGGACATGGGGATAATAATGTTCCACGGCAATGCTCATCTCACTTTATGGGTATGATGCACTTGTTTCTATTCGAGTCCATGGTAAATCATACCTTTCCGGCGCTAAGCACTAAGTTTCTCCAGTATGGGTAGTGTATGTGGCACTGCATGTGGAATAACGTGGCCAGCGAGAGCACAGGGAAGGCCCATTCGTGACCCCCACCCTCCAGACATCCATGACTATGGAAGGCTAACTACCCCGGGCTTAAACCCATGAATAAGCCATACCCCGGAGCAAAAAAAGGGAACAAACATGGAGCGCACAGGAGCACGCTCTACCACCAAGAATGAGCAGCTGCCATGTTTTACCACCGAAGGAGGGGGGGCCATCCTGGAGCCACCATCACAGAAGGCGGGCAGTGCCTGGTGTAAGAGAGCGGCTCCGGCCGGCATCGTGTAAAACCAGGTCGGAGAGCACGGCTGCAGCACCCTATTGAGTAGGTCTCACCTTTCTCTTAGGCATGATGAGTTCGGGTTTGTGGCCTCGCCCTGGAGTTGCTGCTGCTTTCGTCGAGTAGGGTGACGATAATGATGATGGTCGTTATGGGAGGAAACGCAGTGACTGGAGCCTCACAACCGCTTTCCGCACAACTACAATCTTCCCCTCACCCCACCTCCAATCCTGGCTCGCGCAGCAATACGCCGCTCTCATTGGCCAAACACAGTTTACAAATTCCTCTTGTACCGCCCACCTTCCTGAGCGAGCTACCAACGGCCGCGCCGCGAGTGGGCGTGGTGACACGCGAAGCTGACACTATTGATTTACTACGACAACACCCCTGAGTTTAACTCCACCTTCCTTCTCAGTTCGACCAATCAGAAGAAGTCTGTCTGCCCAACCTCAGTTTAAATTTGTGGCAGTGGGCGGCGGTTAGCTAATGCCCGACCCCGCTACTGGCGGTTAAAGCTTCCAACCGTTTGTAAGAAGGAACGTGGCGCATGCTCCGCCTCTTCTCGTCACAGTTTATTTTTGAATTTTGCTTGGCGCGCGGTAGCTTTAGGATTTACTGTGGCCGCCATTTTAGTTAATGGGCTGATGCAAGGAGCACGTTTCAATGTAATTTTTTTTTTTTCTTTTCACTTTATTGATAAGATAGATATCGTTTTTGACATCCCTTTGTATTCAGGAGAATGGGTATCTGTGTGAAACGTCCATACTGCAAACCGTGTTATGCATATAAAATGTTCATGCAGATTAGAAACGTGAAATTCGAAATGTTCTTTCTACTCCACAGAGATGTTACATTTATCTTCAACTGCGTAATTTAGTCAATATGTTTGTAAATGAGCCACGAGTGGCTGAGAATTGATTTTACTCAGGAAAAAAAGCATTTGGTAACTTAGGACCTTGGAGAAAGAGCAAGGTATAACGTATTCTTGTACTTGCTATGTGTGTAGATTAATGCATTATTTAACTTTAATGGTCAGGGCCGTATTAAATGTGCTTACTGAAGGCCTGGCCAGTTCTGAATATCTTGCAGTATTTTGTGTTAAATGGGTTCTAGAGCTTATGGACGCTTTTGTCCTGTTTGCAGTCACACCACTAGCTATTAGAATTTATAGAAATATACAAAAGCCTTCCACTTTTGTCTGATTCCAGCAACGGTCACAAGTTATGGCTGTGTGATTCGGGCATCATCTCACTCATCACAAAATGTGATCAGTGGCTTCTCACAGATCTAGAGGGATCCTCTATAGATCTCCGTAATGTACTCTTGTGGCTCCAGGCACAGTCTGTGGAGGTTACCCAGGTTGAAGATTGCAGTGGCTGCATGGAACAGCTTCAGATAACTAAACCTTGGAGGACACCCCATGGCCACAGAACCAGAACTAAATATTTCTCTTTAACCCCTTAAGGACACAGCTTCAGAAGCTTGTTTTACGCTTAATGACAAGCAATTTTTGCATTTTCTTGCTGTATGCGTTCAACTGCAATTTGCATCTCTCTCGTTTATTGCACCGACACATATTATATACTGTTTTTTTAAAGGACAGAAAGGGCTTTAATTTGATGTAATATATATATATATATATATATATATATATATATATATATATATATATATATATATATATATATATATATATATATATACACACACTTATTATTTAAAAGAAAAATGCAAAAAAAAAACCTTTTGTGTTTTTGTACAGTTTTTGCAATAATAATGTGTGCCTAATTAGTGCAGGTTAAAGAAATTAATTAAAAATTAATTTAGTTCGGATTTACAGAATATATGTGTCTGGGATTTTAAGTTTATTTGGTAGTTACAGGTCACAAAGCACAAAGAGTAAAATAAATTTTTAATGTGGAGTGATTTTAGAATTTGGTATGTTTGTCTTGTAAGCTTAATAGCCATAAAAGAAAACCGAATTGCCACACAAAAGTATATATTTATATAAAGTAGAAATCACAGGCTATTCACCTATGGTTGTTTTAATACTTTCTACGTAGCCATTTCACCGCCAACCTCTGCTAAATATTGGAGTAAAATTGTGTTTTGTTTGGCTTTTGGCACACAAACTTATAACAAAGAAATTCTCATGTGTATATTGTAAAGTTGGTGTGTGCTATTCCTGTACAAAGTTTTTTATTTTGTGTTCAGTTACTATTGCTAAGTACAACAATTTCAACATATACAGAATTTTGAGAGGTGGATTTAATGGGCCTATGCTTCAATTTGGGGTATTATAGCAGTTTGACTGTTCAAAAAAAAAAACCCACAAAGGCCTACCATTTGTAAAAGTAGACACTCCAGGGTATCTCATATGGTGCATATTGTGCCTTAGCATGCCCCCGTTTTCTCACCAATATATGCCAAAGTATTTGGTAAAAAATTATTTGGGGCATTTTGTACATTTCATATGTGCCACTAAGTTCAAACCCCCCAAATTATGCTCAGCTAAGTATTCTGCGTAAAACAATATGCCCAATGTATGACTTAGACACTATTTTGTGAAGTTACACTGCTGTAAAAGAGACGTGACAAGTTAAGGTTTTTAAGTGTGGATTTTCATGGAGGATTTTGATGCGTCCGTGTCCCACTTTGGAGTACTTGAGCAGGCTACATATTACAACTACACCATAAAGGCATACCATTTCTTAAAGAACACATCCCAGGGTATTTCAAAAGGCCTATTTTGAACCTTAGCGTGGAATCATTTTTCCGTTAGCTTGTACCAAGTGTAGTGGTAATAAGCATTTTTTTTCCTGCCTTTTTGACACACAAAGCGAGTCTGCGCAGCATATTTTGCAAACCTTATGTGTACTATGACTGTATACTACTTCAAATGTTGCTCAGCTATGTCGGCTGAGTACAGCAATACCCCCATATGTACCTTTGCCAGGTATATGTGGACATTGAAGGGGCACATTTGGGACACAGCCATTACAGTTTTTTTTTTTTTTTTCAAACTTAGAATTTTTACGCTGTGTCCCTGTCCCATTTTAGAGTATTTTACAAGGCTAAATAATCCAATTACCCTATAAAGGCATACCATTTCTTAAAGAAGAAGTCCCAGGGTAATTCAAAAGTCATATTTTGAACCTTAGCGTAGGATCATTTTTCCGCTAGCTTCTACCAAGTGTAGTGGTAATGAGCATTTTTTTAATGTAATTTTTTACTTTTGTAAAACATTTTTTACTTTGTAAAACCCGTTTTTAAACTTTTTTTTTTACTTATTAAATGTCTTACACTTTCTTAACTTTTTTACACTTTTAATTTTTTTCTAAACTTTTTTTTCTTTTACCCTTAACCCCTAACTAGCAGTAAGCAGCACTAACAGCAAATTCCCCCCTTTCCCATAATTCCCACCCACTCCAGCTAGCAAAATACATATAATTATAAAATATTTAAGTTAAATAAATTGAACCCCTGAGGGTTAAAAAATAAATAAATTTAATCCTCAGGGGATAAAAGAAATTAGATTACAGTATAGTACTGTGACCTGTATTTTGATCACTGTAGGCAGTGATCAATTGGCAGGGAAGGGGTTAATTTTTTAGACTGGGCAAAGGGAGGTGTTTTTACTTTTTATTTTTTTTTTCAACTTTTTTTTTTACCTTTTTAAAGCTTATTTTAAAACTTTTTTTTAACGTTAACCCCTAATTAGCCTAACACCAAATTCCCCACTAACTTCCACCCAGCTAGCTAAATATATAATTTTAAAATATTTTAATAAAATAAATTTAACTCCTGAGGGTTTAAAAAAAAAAAAAATCAGATGACATTAAAATGTATACCCTGCCAATTGATCACTGTAGTCAGTGATCAATTGGCAGGGAAGGGGTTTATTTTATTAAAGCAGGGTCAGAGCGAACAGCCTGTCAGAGCAAGCACCGGTGCTGGGGCAGCCCGATCGGGTGCTCCCAGTCTGCCTCTAATACATAGGCAGACCGGAGCACCGTTAACCCAGCGATTGCGGCGATCTGGGGTTAACTTTAGTAAATGACGGAAATTTTCCATCGACAGTCCTTAACTGAAGGACAGAGTTGACGGAAAATTTCTGTCTGCAGTCGGGAAGGGGTTAAGGACTGAGACAAATGTTCACGTTGTGATCAAAACTTGGAATTTGACTGTTCAACTGTAAATCACCTTTTTCATATTAGGTGCCCCCCACATTTATTATATATCATTTTATTCAGGGCTTTCATTTAACATCAAATATTTAGCTATGAAACATAATTTAATATGCATAAAATATAAAAAAAAAAAAATGGGAGAAAATAATTTTTTTTTAAGTTCTATGTGACATTTTAACTGTGACTGTTAATACGGTTTGCTTTTACTGCAATAAAATACACATATTTGTATTCAGCGATGTCTCGTGTAAAACAGTACCCCCCCTACAGGGAGTGCAGAATTATTAGGCAAGTTGTATTTTTGAGGATTAATTTTATTATTGAACAACAACCATGTTCTCAATGAACCCAAAAAACTCATTAATATCAAAGCTGAATATTTTTGGAAGTAGTTTTTAGTTTTTTTTAGTTTTAGCTATGTTAGGGGGATATCTGTGTGTGCAGGTGACTATTACTGTGCATAATTATTAGGCAACTTAACAAAAAACAAATATATACCCATTTCAATTATTTATTATTACCAGTGAAACCAATATAACATCTCAACATTCACAAATATACATTTCTGACATTCAAAAACAAAACAAAAACAAATCAGTGACCAATATAGCCACCTTTTTTTTTGCAAGGACACTCAAAAGCCTGCCATCCATGGATTCTGTCAGTGTTTTGATCTGTTCACCATCAACATTGCGTGCAGCAGCAACCACAGCCTCCCAGACACTGTTCAGAGAGGTGTACTGTTTTCCCTCCTTGTAAATCTCACATTTGATGATGGACCACAGGTTCTCAATGGGGTTCAGATCAGGTGAACAAGGAGGCCATGTCATTAGATTTTCTTCTTTTATACCCTTTCTTGCCAGCCACGCTGTGGAGTACTTGGACGCGTGTGATGGAGCATTGTCCTGCATGAAAATCATGTTTTTCTTGAAGGATGCAGACTTCTTCCTGTACCACTGCTTGAAGAAGGTGTCTTCCAGGAACTGGCAGTAGGACTGGGAGTTGAGCTTGACTCCATCCTCAACCCGAAAAGGCCCCACAAGCTCATCTTTGATGATACCAGCCCAAACCAGTACTCCACCTCCACCTTGCTGG